TCTGAAGGTTTATTTATTCCTTAATGGGACTATACTGCTGAAACACTGAAGGGTTGTTTTTATTACTGTGACAGGACAAATCCTGGGAGCATGTATCACTGAGGAAACATCTAGAAGCCAAAGCACTTTTAAGACAGAAACACTGTCTTAGATACCAAACAGCAAAACAGACTATACATACGACTCCAAACAAAAGCATTAATGCCAGTGCATTAACAAAGCTATGTAAACAAACCACCCAACTAACATTTAAATGTTAAATACTCTGGTTTAAAAGCTAAATCAAAGGGGGCCGGAGAGATGGCTCAGTGGTTAAGAGCACTGACTGCTCTTGCAGAGGACCCGGGTTCGATTCCCACCACCCACATGGCGGCTAACAACAGTCTGTAAATCCAGTTCCAAGGAATTTGATGCCTTCTTCTGACCTCCATGGGCACTGTAACACACAGGTACACTTACACACATGTAGGCTCATACACATAAAATAAAATAAAAATTAAAAAAAAAAATCTAAATCATAGCCAGGCATGGTGGCACACACCTTTAATTCCAGCACTTGAGAAGCAGAGGCAGGCAGATCTATGAGAGATTGACGTCAGCCTGGTCTACAGGCCAGCTGTGGCTATAGGAAGACCCTGTCTCAAAAAACTGGGGGAAGGCTGGAGAGATGGCTCAGAGGTTAAGAGCACTGGCTGCTCTTGCATAGGACTTGGGGTCGATTCCCAGCACCTACATGGTAGTTAGCAACTGTCTATGACTCCGGTTCCAGGGGATTCAATGCCCTCTGACCTCCATTGGCATTGTATAACACGGGTACTTTATACATGCAGGCAATACACTCATACACATAAAATTAAAAAAATAATTTTTTAAAAACTTAAAAGGAAATAGGGGGGTGGGTAGAGGGGGAAAAGAGGCTAAATCAAACCCTCAAACCCTTCCTCCCTGAGATATTCCAGGTTTTAAAGTTGCCTTTATTGGCAACTGCAAGCTACAAACCTGTAGCCCTGTCCTGGTGGTATTTTCAACAGCCACCAACCTTGCCTGGTACAGTGTGGGGGTTGTAAACCGGCATGGAAATTTAAAGCAGGTTCTTGGTGCACAGCACAGATTAGTTATATGTGGGGACGGTAGTTTTTTTCATCTTCAGTTGTCTCTGATGCAGCTTATACGAAAATAATTGTTCTGTTAACTGAATACCACCCTGTAATTGCAAAAAAAAAAATGCAGCTGTTTTGTTGACACTCTGAATGCTTCTAAATACAATTTTTTAATTAAAAAAAAAAGATGATCGATCAATCTGTGACCTCCTCAGGCACTTCGCTCTCCTCTGTGTCATCAGATGACATGCTTGAGGGCTCGACCACCACCACTTCTTCCAGGGCCCTGGAAGAAGAGCAATGCCAAGGCTTTTAATTAATTTAAATAATTTATACTACTATGAAAATGCTAATGAACTGATGATTTTACATACTGGTTATTAACAATGGCCTAAAATCCAAGTTATGCCAGGCGTGGTGGTACTTGCTTTTAATGCCAGCACTTGGGAGGCAGAGGCAGGCAGATCTCTGAGTTCAAGGCCAACCTGGTCTACATAGTGCATAGTGAATTCCAGGATAGCTGGGGCTATAGGAAGACCCTGTCTCTTCAGTACTCAGCTCTGAAAAAAAAAAAAAAAAAAACCAAATTTACTGACAGGCTCCCACTTAAAACTATTTGCTTACCAACATACGGTCCACTGGCACAGAACTTCTTTTGGGA